ATCAAACATCGTGCAGAGGGGAGGCAGGGCAGTGCCTATAGGTCGCTCGCTGCTCCTCTTCTGTCAATATTGAGCTTCTATCACGGCGAGCCGTTATTGGCGCCACGGCTCGCAATGCCGGGAATGCGTTGTCAGGGGGTGCGTTGTCAGGGGGTGCGTTGTCAGGGGGTGCGTTGTCAGGGGGTGCGGGGGGCGCACATGTTCTATTCCTCAGCCGAGTCTTTGTAGAACATCCTCACAGGAAATGGCGCTGGCAACAATGTATATCTTTACTGATGAATCTAAGCAGTTCAAAAATCCACAAAACATTGAGAAATATCCGAATAATTCATATACATTGAGCCCAGAATGGCGGGCTTAGGTTTTGTGGCCGTTTAGATGTACGCTATATTGCCCCAAGTATGGGGCCACTGGCCTTCCCTCGCAAATGACCTTTCATGGCCCCCCAGTCTTAGTCCGTAGGGTTCAATATTGAGTTGGCCACGCCCTTTCCATGCACATGACCTTTCATGGCCCCCCAGTCTTAGTCCGTAGGGTTCAATATTGAGTTGGCCACGCCCTTTCCACGCACATGACCTTTCATGGCCCCCCAGTCTTAGTCTGTAGGGTTCAATATTGAGTTGGCCCCGCCCTTTCCACGCACATGGCCTTTAATGGCCCCCCAGTCTTAGTCCGTAGGGTTCAATATTGAGTTGGCCCCGCCCTTCCCACGCACATGACTTTTAATGGCCCCCCCAGTCTTAGTCCGTAGGGTTCAATATTGAGTTGGCCCCGCCCTTCCCACACACATGACCTTTAATAGCCCCCCAGTCTTAGTCCGTAGGGTTCAATATTGAGTTGGCCCCGCCCTTTGCAGCTATAACAGCTTCAACTCTTCTGGGAAGGCCGTCCACAAGGTTTAGGAGGGTGTCTATGGGAAGGTTGGACCATTCTTCCAGAAGCACATTTGTCAGGTCAGGCACTGATGTCGGGGGAGGGGCACTGATGTCGGGGGAGGAGGCCTGGCTCGCAGTCTCCGCTCTAATTCATCCCAAAGGTGTTCTATGGGGTTGAGGTCAGGACTCTGTGCAGGACAGTCAAGTTCCTCCACCCCAAACTGGCTCCTCCATGTCTTTATGGACCTTGCTTTGTGCACTGGTGCGCAGTCATGTTGGAACAGGAAGGGGCCATCCCCAAACTCCTCCCACAAAGTTGGGAGCATGAAATTGTCCAAAATGTTGCCTTAAGAGTTCCCTTCACTGGAACTAGGGGGCCAAGTCCAACCCCTGAAAGACAGGGCGCACGCGCTCAGCACATATGTCTTTTTTTAATAGAACGCAAATGTGCGGCCACTCGGTGTCTAGGCCCAGAAGCCGAGAGGCGGGGTTTTAGGGTCATGTGACCGCCGTGATTCGCCGTCACATGATCAGGAAAGGTCCCGATCGAAAGAGGAGATCGGGACCTTTCCGTAAGTACCAAACGTGTATGCTGAGAGTGCGCAGGGCGCGCGCTCTCAGCACATGCTTTTTTTTCATAGAATGCAAATGTGCGGCAGCTCAGCGTCTAGGCCCAGACGCACATTTGCGTTCAGCCGGCACCAAGAGGTTAATGATTTTTTTTTTTTTTTTTTTTTAAACCTGCGTGCAAATAAACTCAACAAAAACACAAACATTGCAGAAAGGTTGATACTGTTACTTTTTTACAAATTTTTTTCTTTTTTTAGCTTTTTTTTTGTTACTAATTCTTTCTATTCTAGATTTTGATGTTGAGATTCCCTCGGCGGTGAATCTCGCTGTGCCACGGCGCGTCCGTCCGCTTCCATTTCCGATGACAGGAAGGTGACCGACTCGCCAGGGTGAGCTGCTTGACATGCTGGCGGCGTCCGAGTTCCCGCAATTATACACTATTTACCTAGCAGCATATGGCGGCGCTGAGCAGGTGTCTGACTAATGAAACACTACACTTCAATTATGCATCTGGGAAGCCGGCCGTCCTGATTAGCACAACGAATCTTTCTTATTTATTTATTTTGCTACTTTTTACTTTTAATTTCGCCAGATTATCGCTTAATGAGGTGCTGGACGGCCGAGGACAGACAGCTCGCCGCTTCTGGAGTGACAGACGGACCCCGGACCGAGGAAAAGCGCGGGAGGATTTGCTGGGATTAGTTCAGGCACGATCCTCAAAAACACGACTTCGCGCTCTTCACAAATGACAAATCTTACTCGTTAGGACAATATCGCCAGACTTGATTGCGCACTTTGACGGAATGTCTTCGGAATTAGTCTCTAGCTCCGCCGTGTCGCCCCGAAGGGGAAAATTTGTGGCACAAAAACATTCTCTTTTAAAGTTAGGAGTATGTGGTGCTCCTAGATGCGAGAACCCCCTACTCTGCGGCGTGACGTTGTTTATAAACAAAGCCATGCCATATCCTAGTGTGGAGGTACATGAATAGATGCGAGAACCCCCGACTCTGCGGCGTGACGTTGTTTATAAACAAAGCCATGCCATATCCTAGTGTGGAGGTACATGAATAGATGCGAGAACCCCCTACTCTGTGGCGTAACTTTGTTTATAAACAAAGCCATGTCGTGCCCTAGTGCTGAGTTACATGAATAGATGCAAAACCCCCTACTCTGTGGCGTAACTTTGTTTATAAACAAAGCCAAGTCGTACCCTAGTGCAGAGTTACATGACTAAACGTGAGAACCCCCTACTCTGTGGCGTAACTTTGTTTATAAACAAAGCCAAGTCGTACCCTAGTGCAGAGTTACATGACTAAACGTGAGAACCCCCTACTCTGTGGCGTAACTTTGTTTATAAACAAAGCCATGTCGTACCCTAGTGCGGACTTACATGAATAGATGCGAGAACCCCCTACTCTGTGGTGTGACTTTGTTTATAAACAAAGCCATGTCGTACCCTAGTGTGGAGGTACATGAATAGATGCGAGAACCCCCTACTCTGTGGCGTGTGACGTTGTTTATAAACAAAGCCATGTCGTACCCTAGTGCGGACTTACATGAATAGATGCGAGAACCCCCTACTCTGTGGCGTGACTTTGTTTATAAACAAAGCCATGTCGTACCCTAGTGCGGAGTTACATGAATAGATGCGAGAACCCCCTACTCTGTGGCGTGACGTTGTTTATTAACAAAGCCATGTCGTACCCTAGTGCGGACTTACATGAATAGATGCGAGAACCCCCTACTCTGTGGCGTGACTTTGTTTATAAACAAAGCCATGTCGTACCCTAGTGCAGAGTTACATGAATTTGTTTGGTGAATCAAAAACCAGCAGTTTCACTCATCCCTATACTCTTTTTTGACCTTTGCCCTCACGCACACGGGGAGGGGGGACGTTTTGATAAGGCTGGTAACGTTAGCTGTATAAAGTCGCGTTAAAAACATGAGTTTTTTAGCTTTTCTTTAGCCTTTTTGCATCAGCGTTTTAGCAGTTTTTTTTTATGCGTTTAGCTGCGTTTCACACGTTTTTTTCCGTGATTGCATTTTTTTTAGTTAAAAAAAAGTGGGGTTTTTTTTGTCAAAAAAAGTCCAAAATCGCTGGTTTGCGGGTTTTTTAGCCCTCATGCACACTTAACATTTTTACAGCGGCTGTTCTTGGCTTTTGACGTTTTATTCTACAGCCAGTAACCCCCCCAGCATGTTCTCCTCGGTGTCCATACACACACAGACTGGAAAAAAAACTCCAGAACTAGCGGGATTCTAGAGGAGTTTTTTAGCTGCAAAAATGCTGTAAAATGCTGCAAACCGGCGTTTTTTGGACTTTTTTGACCTTTGCCCTCACGCACCTTGGATGTTTTTGATAACGCTGGTAATGGCAGCTGTGTAAAGTCACGTTAAAAATGTTTTTCAGCTTTTTTTAGTGTTTTTGCTGTAGCCTTTAGCAGCGTTTTGGCACGTTTAGTGGCTTTTCCCGCGTTTTTCCATATTTACGTTTTTTAGCATTATAAAAAAAATTTTTTGGTCAAGAAAACGTCCATTTTACGGCGTTTTTCAGCGTTAGAGTGTTTTTACAGCTAAAAAACTCCTCTAGAAGCCCACTAGTTCTGGGGTTTTTTCCAGCCAAAAAACGTTGATTCCAGTCTGTGTGTGTATGGACACCAAGGAGAACATGCTGGGGGGTTTACTGGCCGTAGAAAAAAATGTCAAAAGCCAAAAACAAGAAGAATGCTCCTCACACTTGTGGTCAGTGGGAAGAATGCCCTCACCAGGGGCGGACTGACCATTTGAGCACTCGGGCACTGCCCGAGGGCCCGGGCTCTGTAGGGGGCACCTTTTTAAAAGGCTTTTTTATGTGTGGGCAAGGACACAGGGGCCTTATGATCCCCCTATTGCCCGGGGGCCCCATGAGTTCTCAGTTCACCCCTGCTCCTTACACTTTGTGGTCAGTGGAAGAATGTCCCTTACATTGGGGGTCATTGGGAAGAATGTCCCTTACATTGGGGGTCAGTGGGAAGAATGTCCCTTACATTGGGGGTCAGTGGGAAGAATGTCCCTTACATTGGTGATCAGTGGGAAGAATGTCCCTTACATTGGTGATCAGTGGGAAGAATGTCCCTTACATTGGGGGTCAGGGGGAAGAATGTCCCTTACATTGGAGGTCAGTGGGAAGAATGTCCCTTACATTGGGGGGGGTCAGTGGGAAGAATGTCCCTTACATTGGGGGTCAGTGGGAAGAATGTTCCTTACATTGGGGGTCAGTGGGAAGAATGTCCCTTATATTGGGGGTCAGTGGGAAGAATGTCCCTTACATTGGTGATCAGTGGGAAGAATGTCCCTTACATGGGGGTCAGTGGGAAGAACGTCCCTTACATTGGTGATCAGTGGAAGAATGTCCCTTACATTGGGGGTCAGTGGGAAGAATGTCCCCTTACGAATTGGTGGTCAGTGGGAATAATGTCCCTTACATTGGGGGTCAGTGGGAAGAATGTCCCTTACATTGGGGGTCAGTGGGAGAATGTCCTTACATTGGGGGTCAGTGGGAAGAATGTCCCTTACATTGGTGGTCAGTGGGAAGAATGTCCCTTACATTGGTGGTCAGTGGGAAGAATGTCCCTTACATTGGGGGTCAGTGGGAAGAATGCCCTTTACATTGGGGGGTCAGTGGGAAGAATGGTCCTTACATTGGGGGTCAGTGGGAAGAATGTCCCTTACATTGGGGGTCAGTGGGAAGAATGTCCCTTACATTGGTGATCAGTGGGAAAAATGTCCCTTACATTGGTGATCAGTGGGAAGAATGTCCCTTACATTGGTGATCAGTGGGAAGAATGTCCCTTACATTGGGGGTCAGGGGAAGAATGTCCCTTACATTGGAGGTCAGTGGGAAGAATGTCCCTTACATTGGGGGGGTCAGTGGGAAGAATGTCCCTTACATTGGGGTCAGTGGGAAGAATGTTCCTTACATTGGGGGTCAGTGGGAAGAATGTCCCTTACATTGGGGGTCAGTGGGAAGAATGTCCCTTATATGGGGGGTCAGTGGGAAGAAGAATGTCCCTTACATTGGTGGTCAGTGGGAAGAATGTCCCTTACATTGGTGGTCAGTGGGAAGAATGTCCCTTACATTGGGGGTCAGTGGGAAGAATGCCCTTTACATTGGGGGTCAGTGGGAAGAATGGTCCTTACATTGGGGGTCATTGGGAAGAATGTCCCCTTACATTGGGGGTCAGTGGGAAGAATGTCCCTTACATTGGTGATCAGTGGGAAGAATGTCCCTTACATTGGTGATCAGTGGGAAGAATGTCCCTTACATTGGTGATCAGTGGGAAGAATGTCCCTTACATTACATGGAGGGGGGGGTCAGTGGGAAGAATGCCCTTACATTGGGGGGTCAGTGGGAAGAATGTCCCTTACATTGGGGGGGTCAGTGGGAAGAATGTCCCTTACATTGGGGGTCAGTGGGAAGAATGTCCCTTACATTGGGGGTCATTGGGAAAGAATGAATGTCCCTTACATTGGGGGGTCAGTGGGGAAGAATGTCCCTTACATTGGGGGGGGGGGGTCAGTGGGAAAGAATGTCCCTTACATTGGGGGGGGTTCAGTAGGAAGAATGTCCCTTACATTGGGGGTCAGTGGAAAGAATGTCCCTTACATTGGGGGTCAGTGGAAAGAATGTCCCTTACATTAGGGGGTCAGTGGGAAGAATGTCCCTTACATTGGGGGGTTAGTGGAAGAATGTCCCTTACATTGGTGATCAGTGGGAAGAATGTCCCTTACATTGGGATCAGTGGGAAGAATGTCCCTTACATTGGGGATCAGTGGGAAGAATGTCCCCTTACATTGGGGATCTCAGTGGGAAGAATGTCCCTTACATTGGGGGTCAGTGGGAAGAACGTCCCCCCCCCCCCTTACATTGGGGGTCAGTGGGAAGAATGTCCTTACATTGGGGGTCAGTGGGAAGAATGTCCCTTACATTGGGGGTCAGTGGGAAGAATGTCCCTTACATTGGTGGTCAGTGGGAAGAATGTCCTTACATTGGTGATCAGTGGAAGAATGTCCCTTACATTGGGGGGTCAGTGGGAAGAATGTCCCTTACATTGGAGGTCAGTGGGAAGAATGTCCCTTACATTGGTGAATCAGTGGGAAGAATGTCCCTTACATTGGTGATCAGTGGGAAGAATGTCCCTTACATTGGGGGTCAGGGGGAAGAATGTCCCTTAATTGGGGGTCAGTAGGAAGAATGTCCCTTACATTGGAGGTCAGTGGGGAAGAATGTCCCTTACATTGGAGGTCAGTGGGAAGAATGTCCCTTACATTGGGGGTCATATTGGGAAGAATGTCCCTTACATTAGGGTGTCAGTGGGAAGAATGTCCTTACATTGTGGGTCAGTGGGGAGAATGTCCCTTACATTGGGGGTCAGTGGAAGAATGTCCCTTACATTGGGGTCAGTGGGAAGAATGTCCCTTACATTGGGGGTCAGTGGGAAGAATGTCCCTTACATTGGGGGTCAGTGGAAGAATGCCCCCTTACATTGGGGATCAGTGGGAAGAATGTCCCTTACGTTGGGGGTCAGTGGGAAGAATGCCCCTTACGTTGGAGGTCAGTGGGAAGAATGTCCCTTACGTTGGGGGTCAGTGGGAAGAATGTCCCCTTACATTGGGGATCAGTGGGATCGAAAAAATGCCCCTTACATTGGGGGTCAGTGGGAAGAATGTCCCTTACGTTGGAGGTCAGTGGGAAGAATTGTCCCTTACATTGGGGATCAGTGGGAAAAATGCCCCTTACATTGGGGTCAGTGGGAAGAATGTCCCTTACGTTGGAGGTCAGTGGGAAGAATGTCCCTTACGTTGGGGGTCAGTGGGAAGAATGTCCCTTACGTTGGAGGTCAGTGGGAAGAATGTCCCTTACATTGGTGGTCAGTGGGAAGAATGTCCCTTACATTGGGCGTCAGTGGGAAGAATGTCCCTTACGTTGGGGGGGGTCAGTGGGAAGAATGTCCCTTACGTTGGGGGGTCAGTGGGAAGAATGTCCCTTACATTGGGGGGGGTCAGTAGAAGAATGTCCCTTACGTTGGGGGTCAGTGGGAAGAATGTCCCTTACATTGGGGGTCAGTGGGAAGAAGTAGCTATTTACAGATAGCTAAAAAGATCAACGGTGTCACTGGGAACTTACCTGAGAAACAGTTCATTGTTCACGGAACCCCTAGCAACGTCTGAAGGAACCCTGGTTGAGAAACCCTCATATACACAATAACGGATGTCACTTTTACTTGTCTGTAGTTTCATCATTTGAGCAAATCTTGTGGAACTGTCTGAGCTGAAAATAAAGAACCTAAGAAGTTAAGATTTAAAGGATAAGTTCACCTTTGGAACATGTCACCTGTTTGTACCCGTTTTTAGGGTGGAACATGTAACATGTTCCCATAGCCGCAGCTGCAGCCTTTATTTATTTTTGTCCAAAAGGTGTGATCCTTTTTAGTGGTCTATTAATAAGTGCACTTAGCTTCTTCAGCACCATTTGGATGAAAAAATGAATTCTTATTCTCTAATATAAAAAATCTATACTGGACGAGGGTTCGTTTCCCTACGCACCTTCTGGCCAATCGATGAATGCAAAATATATAACCTTTATTCAAATATCTAGGAAATGTACGCTCAGCTGTAATTACTGCCTATTGGAGTGGGAATGTACTGCGCACAACTATATGAACTGGACACCATTGCAATTATTTACCTTCCATCCAAATGGTTGACAACACCGGATCAAATACCATACTGTTTAAGATGAAGTGACGGCATACAAAGGTCTTGGAGAGGTCTGGACTACGTTTTACAGTTCATCATTTGCATTCCTCAAGACAGGGAGGTATTTTTATCTGGATATGGTGATGGTTGTTTGGGGCTTAATCATGAGAAGCTGATATTTAAGCCCGTGGATGAGTGTTGCCATATTAAATATCTGTAGCAACATAGATTATACTACTATCTAATTAGTTTTGTACATGTAACTCCATTTCCTTCACAAGAGGTTATATATTTTACATTCATCGATTGGCCAGATGGTGAGTAGGGAAACGCACCCTCGTCCAATATAGATTGTTATTGGCCAAAGATGATGATTTACAATTAGGGCTTAGTTCAATTATTCTCTAATATATGCATTTGTATATAAACTTTGGGAGCGATTTTAAAAAAAAACATACAGTTGCAAGAAAAAGTATGTGAACCCCTTGGGATTACGTGGAGTTTTGCATGAATTGGGCATAAAATGTGCTCTGAACGTCATCTAAGTCACAACAATAGAAGAACACAGTCTGCTGAACATAATACTACACAAACATTAGATGTTGCCATGGTTTAATTGCACATAACATGTAAACATTCACAGTGCAGGGAGGAAAAAGTATGTGAGGCCCTAGCTTAATGACTTCTTCCAGAGCTAATTGGAGCCAGTAGTGAGCCAACCTTGACTCCAATCAGTGTGATGATATTGGATGTGTTGCTGACAACTGTCCTGCCCTTAAAAAACATACACCTGATTTGGGTTTACTGGTTTCAAGAAGCACTGTCTGATGTGAACCATGCCTCGCAGAAAAAGAGCTCTCAGAAGACCTACGATCAAGAATTGTTGACTTGCATGAAGCTGGAAAGGGTTTACAAAAGTATCTCCTTGAGCCTTGATGTTCATGTGTCCACGGTAAGACAGACTGTCTACAAATGGAGAAAGTTTAGCACTGTTGTTACTCTCCCTAGGCGTGGTCGTCCTGTAAAAATGACTGCAAGAGCCCAGCGCAGAATGCTGCATGAGGTAAAGAAGAATCCCAGAGTGTCAGCTAAAGACCTACAGAAATCTCTGGCACATGCTAACATTTTTGTTGACACATCTACAATAAGGAAAACATTAAACAAGAATGGAGTACATGGGAGGACACCACGGAGGAAGCCATTGCTGTCCAAAAAGAATATTGCAGCACGTTTGAAGTTTGCAAAAGAGCACCTGGATGTTCCACAGCACTACTGGCAGAATATACTGCGGACAGATGACACCAAGATTGAGTTGTTTGGGAAGAACACACAACACTATGTGTGGAGAAAAAAAAGGCACAGCACACCAACATCAAAACCTCATCCCCACTGTGAAACATGGCGGAGGGAGCATCATGGTTTGGGGCTGCTTTGCTGCCTCAGGGCCTGGACGGATTGTTGTCATTGATGGGAAAATGAATTCCAGAGTTTATCAAGACATTTTGCAGGAAAACGTACGACCATCTGTCCGCCAACTGAAGCTCCGCAGAGGATGGGTGATGCAACAGGACAATGATGACCCAAAGCATACAAGTCATTCAACAAAACAATGGCTGCAACAGCACAGAATACGCCTTCTGGAGTGGCCCAGTCAGAGTCCTGACCTCAACCCCATTGAAATGCTGTGGCATGACCTTAAGGGAGCGATTCACACCAGACATCCCAAGAATATTGCTACACTGAAACAGTTTTGTGAAGAGGAGTGGTCCAAAATGACTCCAGATCGTTGTGCAGGTCTGATCTGCAACTACAGGAAACATTTGGTTGAAGTTATTGCTGCCAAAAGAGGGTCAACCAGTTATTCAGTCCAAAGGTTCACATACTTTTTCCTCCCTGCACTGTGAATGTTTACATGTTATGTGCAATTAAACCATGGCAACATCTAATGTTTGTGTAGTATTATGTTCAGCAGACTGTGTTCTTCTATTGTTGTGACTTAGATGACGTTCAGAGCACATTTTATGCCCAATTCATGCAAAACTCCACGTAATCCCAAGGGGTTCACATACTTTTTCTTGCAACTGTATACACACAACAACCAATGTCAGATTTACTGGTCTATAACTTGTCCAAGTTAAGAAAAAAACAAAACGAAACCTAAATGATCTATTCAGCACATGTGGGTGAAATAATTATTTCCCATTCTCTAATATATGCATGACTATTGCACCAGAGATAGGCTCGTCCACTTCCCCATTACCACCATTACCGTTCCGCACCAACCCCCCCTTCCCCTTAACCAATTATACTAACAAAAGACAGAACACCAATTTTGGAGTAAATGGCCAACATGGCCTTTTAATAACAACTCAAGTTACAACACACACCAACCATTCCTTATAACAGAAACCCCCAGAATTGTTGTCGGTCTTCGAAGGCACCCCAAAACGATCCGAAATGCACCTGCGGACAACCATATACACTAGGCCTCCAGCCACAACCAACCA